TGTCTTTCAACCTACAAACCCAGGCGTGTGCATATGCGTGTGTGGGGGGAGGGTATCAAGTCCCTAGTACCAAGTAATTAAGCCTCTAGTCAAAATCCCACATCGATTCAGAATCCCATTAGCATGGTTCGTGCCTGAACAAATATCCACATGGCTGACAAGCTTGTGTCCTATATACGCCGGCTTCACACAGCAACCAAGCAGTTGTTAGGTGGACAGGACTATATAGAAAACGTTTGCAACAAAGTACTGTGCACAAATATGTATACAAGCCCAAGCCATCAGTCACTGTTCAGTAAAAGTCACCGCGGGGCGCATGACTAACGAATTTACCACTCCAACTGGATCTCCTATCCTCGAATGCATTGTTTCTGTACTGTGTGTGAGGAACGATTTAGATGTCTACTGTGCCCATCTAAAAGACGCAAGTTAGTTGCTAAACTGTGTTATCGGTATAGAAGAGTCCAAATGTTGAGGCATGGGTCTACAAGCACCACTCTGTCGAAACTCGAAAAAAAAAATGTGCTGGTCGTTTTAGAACCATGATAGTGGGGAATAGATTACTGTGTTGTTTGGAATGAAACACCATACAGCAGTCAATTAGATCGAAACCGGGGAGGCCAGAGGAAAAATTGGGGGAATAAAGTTGGCATCAGTGGATTAGGTACACTTTGGCGAGTCTGTAAACTTTACGAGACATAGCATAACAATAGTTATTTCGATAACGCGGGCGAAGCTCCCGACAGATCATAACCTGGATATAGGCCTTTTAACTATAGCATCTTCCTCCTGGGAGGCTGTTTAGACCGATGAGAAATTTGACGTTGAAAAAATAACTCCTAAAAGACCGTAAGCTGACTAGTTAAAGTCGCATTTATACGGGTAACACAGTAAATGTCAGAATACAAAACTCCTGTCAGGTGGTATTCATATTACGGTACGAGTTTTGCATCCGCCTAGGTATGTCTTCAGAATGACTATACTCTCATGGCACTTAGCCACTACATGACAGGAAATGAAGTAAGCCTGAACTAAATCCATGAAAAGTGTCCACCAACAGATATCGTCCGTCCGGACGAAAGCACCGAGCGTCGATCATGTGAAAATCCACTTAAAATTTAGTATTTTATACTAGCTCACCAGAATATGGGGTAGACCACCTTGTTGTGATACTTACACCGATGGAACACAAATCAGCCAGGCCATTTGTTGGTCACCATTTAGGTTAGCGTAACTGGAAGTCAAATCTAACCGTGGGTTCGCGAATATACACTCATTTGCAAACTAATTTGGTTTTTCGAGAGACTCACCTGCAGCTCAGCTGAATCTCTCGTTTGTGATGTTCTCAGGCAACTGAATGTGCTGCACCAGGGCGCCTCATGTTTCAGTCGCCACGATATTCGAGATATCGCGATACATGTATATCTTTGTAATGTACTACTCATAAGGTTGTTGAAAATCCATCGACAGCCCACGACCGGTTTCGCCCTCTTTGGGGCTCATCAGTTTAGTTTGCAAATGAGTGTATATTCGCGAACCCACGGTTAGATTTGACTTCCAGTTACGCTAACCTAAATGGTGACCAACAAATGGCCTGGCTGATTTGTGTTCCATCGGTGTAAGTATCACAACAAGGTGGTCTACCCCATATTCTGGTGAGCTAGTATAAAATACTAAATTTTAAGTGGATTTTCACATGATCGACGCTCGGTGCTTTCGTCCGGACGGACGATATCTGTTGGTGGACACTTTTCATGGATTTAGTTCAGGCTTACTTCATTTCCTGTCATGTAGTGGCTAAGTGCCATGAGAGTATAGTCATTCTGAAGACATACCTAGGCGGATGCAAAACTCGTACCGTAATATGAATACCACCTGACAGGAGTTTTGTATTCTGACATTTACTGTGTTACCCGTATAAATGCGACTTTAACTAGTCAGCTTACGGTCTTTTAGGAGTTATTTTTTCAACGTCAAATTTCTCATCGGTCTAAACAGCCTCCCAGGAGGAAGATGCTATAGTTAAAAGGCCTATATCCAGGTTATGATCTGTCGGGAGCTTCGCCCGCGTTATCGAAATAACTATTGTTATGCTATGTCTCGTAAAGTTTACAGACTCGCCAAAGTGTACCTAATCCACTGACCATGGGTTGTTTCTGTGGTTGTTGATGGATGAGGTATTGTCAGCGGCAACGTTATGGATGCAGCCATCCGTTCCCTTCCTTGACAGAACATACATCTTCTGCATAAAGGATCATGAACGCGTGTCTGGACTTCGAATGAAGATTTCACTTTTCACACCACTGCCTACTTACAGTGATTCCGTTGCACGCAATAGTCAGGAGTATTTTTGGTGCTAACTTACAAACTTGCCAAGACTCTCAGGGCTTCCATTCTTTCCGTCAGTTTAGAGCCACCCCCATTTGATGGATGTTGTCTGCTGTGCATAGTTTAGGGTGGAGCGTGGGGTGATTTGACTAGTGAGAGTTGGAGATGGCCTCACAAAAGCCTCAAAGCACGGTGCGAAGGGAAAAGTAGTGGAGGTTCACGTTCCAGTAGTTGCCGGAACTAATCAAGGTGAACGTAGCGGTCACAATGGCTCACCGCCGGGCGCAGTAGGTGTGACTTGTGTGGGGTTATTCGCTGGTCCAAAGCATACATGTCGGTTATGCTACAAACCCCCCAGTGAACGTAGCTTGACGTAATAATTCACCGATTCCTTTGCTTACTCAGCCTATGTACTTTTAACCCCCACTAGTTTTGCTATTTGTACCCGCCACTCACCTTGCCACTAAGGTCGTCCAGTCCAACACCTGTGTCTGTCTGTTTGTGAGCGTGTGCAGCTGACCTACTCACCCATGAGCGTTTGTTTCCCGTTGAATTGTTTTCTCACGAGTTCCGTGTGATCGTATCCCCAATACGGATCACGTGAACGTCGTCGGAAGGGATGACCACAACCCACACTACTGAGCCAACATGTCGCTCGCCGCTGTTTGGTGTGTGGTCGTTGACACTGCACTATGCAGGTCAGCGACAGACAATGGAAGGCTTTTTGTATGCATTTGCTTACCCTTGTGTAAATAGTACCGTAGAATTTCGAACCCTATTCTTCCTTCTGATATTCGGGATTGTCGAACCTACATGTCACTCAAAGTTCCTTGTCATGAACCCCAACATTTTCCCTGTCGGCTGGGGTTAAAACAGCTGATGTACTCTTCATCACAAGATCCAATAAGACAGTCTCGTTAGTCAACCGACCATCTAAACAATATATTCTAATGAAGCGATGGTAATGGCACTCAAAGTCTAAGACCTCGATGCATGGTCCGGTGAGCACAGAAGTGGTACCCTCCCATTAATCTTCCAAACTTTGTCACCCTGCAGTGAGAAAATGAGTGATATTGGTCACTTGTCTGTGAGCTGACCATAGGTACATACACTGGACCCAAGCAGATCTCACATACCTTAACCATCGGGTATTTTACTTGGTGGTAGGGTTTACACCCACGCAGGTGTGTGGACATGTGTGGGATTGCAGGCAGAACACAACCCTCGAAAATCATCACTCCGATCAACGAAACGAAAGCAGGACAAATGCTTCAATCAACCGATTGCCTGCTTGTTCCGATTTATTTCACTCCGTGCTTGTGACTGGTATAAAAAACGTGACACACGCCTCGTCCAATTGGCTAAAAGCGTCAGAATCATCGATTGAAGCGACATTTAACACGTGCTGCTAAAAAACTGGTGAAAGTGAGCAAGACTGGCAGTTTCGGCCAGATTGCCAGAATCAAGTGATGTAAGTGATGTCTGGACCAAGCAACGCAAAAATCAACGGAATTTAACTTGTCAGACGAACACAAGTTCTTATTCCTCCTCACTTCCTACAAGTACAAATGTTTAGGCGTTCAACCGTATATATATATATATATATATATCATATAAATCATATATCATATCATATATATAATCATATATGTAATCATATAACTGGTATCGTAAAAAAGGTCAGACTACCGGAGACAACCGATACTATTGAATAATATATTTAAGCGGTCGGAATAAAGTCGCAAACTGGATGGTCCCGAAATATGGACAGGAAGGGGAAAAATTTGGTATGCCTGAGGAGGTGAGACTTTTTATGGAGGTGTAAGTGAGAATCAGCTCTACCAAGATAATTCAAGTGTCCAGGCGCACCACCCTTGCTATAAAGGAAAGATTCAGGTAATTTGATAAGTTTATCTCTACAGAGATAAGGTGCGTTCAAACATGCTCTGCAGTTGGAACGACTCAAATTCAAGCCGGAAATCCATGATTGCAAATTGTTGGTTGTTATCGCTGGTCGTGAAAGACAAACTACTAATCAACTCCCAAAAGGCGTTAGCCTATTTTTTTCATGCATAAGCAATTATCTGATTATGCTGGATATGCCACAAAGCACTTCAGTTAGAGGACTAAGCACCGTTTGTGAGCAAGAGACTGTATGTACGCTATTCCCCAAAAAAGAACTATGTACTTTCCCGCTGATACACCGTCATGAGGATTAGCCGGACACGTGCACTGAAATGTTGTGACCATGAGTTAACCAAAGATTTCGGTTTACTTGAATTTCGAGGTCTTGTGCATTTTGGTGGTACTATCAAAGTGTCATGTGACTTCATGTGCTTGTCACCTGGTTTAGCCAAATCCGTTCACCCCACATAATTGCAGCCAATTCCACCTACACGTCGCTGAAACAAAACAAAACTTCCGCGGAGGGACAAGAAGTCGCTTCTTGGAAGAGTGGGTTCCCCGCAGGTTTCATCTGGAGGTTATCGAGTGCAGGCAAGTTTCCACCCACATCCCAAAAGAGCTCTTAACATTGGCTAATTTCTCCCACTATGGTTTCACTGTGTATCCGGCTGACCGCAAGAAAAGTGTAACTTGTCGAAGGTGGGGCCAAAAGTACACCTACTGAACGATGTTCACCTTTCAACTCAAATACACTAACTGGACAATAGGTACCAGTTTACGCACGGTTAACACATTGGAGTGGTTGGACAAAAGCCCACGCAAGTCATCCATATGTACCCACATGAGCAGTCCCGATGACGGGCTTGATGTCATTGGAACCATTGTCTATTTTCATGAACGCTACATGAATTTACGATGTGAACTTGAATACGGAAATTCGTTTGACTTATTGTGCGAAGTACAGCCATCTGCTGAGTCTACCTCGGCTGACTTGCGTTCGCATGCTATTTAACTAGCCCATAGACCGTAATCCTTCTGTTAAACCGGAACCGCCAGTTGACACAAATTCTTTTCCGGTCTGAACAAGGCACAGTGTCCACTTTCATTAGCCGGTGTGCGATGCATTCAAGCAACATTAGTTGAGTCACTCTAAAAAATGCAGCAGGCTACAACTGAAGTGAAGTGTTAGTCAGATGTTGAAAGTAGTGAGCAACAACCGGCAAAATACATTCATTTACAAGTTGCAGTGATTTCAAGAGAGAAATTCAAAAGAATCTTTTGGATATCACTCGGATAATTGGACATTGTCGTGCAAGGACAACAGAAAAGTTGCTGAGCAACGGTTCTGTTGATTACGTGATGTAATAATTCATTTCCCTATTCATCAGGCTAATTCATTATCTTTCCGGTGACCGATCAAGTTTCAAGACTGAACTACTCTATTTTATACAAAGTCGACTCTATATCTACCTTTTTATGTTGTCGATTTGTTCACATTCATTTCTGGGCTTGTTGTGGGACATTTGTCCCACTTTGAACTGAACAACTTCTTTTCCGTTTTATTTGTTCGATAGCACACTGCCCTTCCTGTACCATCCTGTGTTGCTAACTGCCCAAGGTTCAATCTGGCCGTAAGCCTTTTTTTAATTCTCCTCACCACTTACTGTTAATTTCCCATAGCCACACGGTCTACACATCTATACTATCTGCCCACGTCCAATTCAATCTATTGTTCACTGCCCAATGGTGACTACTGAACAAACGCAGGTGAAGTTCGTAGAATTCGGTTTCGCCGCAATTATTACTGACCGTCGGTCGGTGAATGAGACTACACTTTACCTGTCAGATAGGACACCTAGATCGTGCGTTTAGGCTAATTAACCAATTCTTTGCTTTGAGATCATGACCTTGGCACAGGACAGTACAGGTTGTTTCACCCAGACCAAACGAAATGGGGATCTCCAACTGTTCTTCCGGGGCTGATTTTCATGGAATCTGCCAAAATAACCCGCCAAGTGGACCACCGATGAGCTCGGCATGCAAGATTCCAGAATAACTAATAGCAGTAAAGTCTGCATAAACACTATTCTGTGAATTCGTGTATTGCATGACGAGGTGAATGTGTGATTTGGGAACAACTGGGTGAAAAAATCTACCGAATATATCAATAGGATATCCATCTGTGATTGGTGTACCAATGGTGATTAAAACAAACAAGATGTAACTGAATCCTGTCTATTACAGATGACACCCGTGACACCTGTTTTATTCTGGCTAGTGGTCCTTACTGTGCCGGTGTAAATCAGTCGAGGGGAAAACGTAGCCATGAATATTATTAAGTTGGTCGATAGAATTCACCGGTTTGCCTTAGATTACGGTAAATTTAAGGAATAGACACCAGTCTTTATGACAAAGGGGATTTAGTTGAATCTGACCCTTTGGTTTGGCCTATACATTAAAATTTATCACTGACGTTAGCATCTCGGGAACAGTCAGGTGACTTTCTCATGGTTCCGGTGAAGGAAGCAGTGGTTACTTGGTGTGTGACTTGGGTTTGAAGGCGGTTATTATGAGTGTTGTTCCCATGCATGACTTTCACACACTGTGGAGTGCTCAAGTAAGTAAATTGCTCCAAGTGGTCCATTCGTGAAGCGGCTTCTCATGGAATGTACTCATGTTGCAGCAGAACTTTACAGTGTCATCCGAAGAAGTGTCTCATTAGATTTAGTTTCCCACAAGGGGTAACAGAAGCAGGTTAGGTTGAACCATATGCTTGCGGGCGATCAGTACAGGATTCAGCAGTCTAGTTGGAAACACTCGTGCAACTCGTCTTTTGAGTAGAATACAAGGCCGATGGAAGCTCGGACACATATAATCAACCCCAAAAAGGACAAGACTGATCGTGAGCAAGGGCCCATATATGTATCTACGCGCAGTTGTATTATGTGGGTTGTGCGTTTGTACAAATTAATGTCTCGGCTGGAACTTGCCTCGTAAGAGACGTTGTCAGTTGAGAACGATGGTGAGTATGAATACTGTCTGTACATGATGATATACAAGGGGAAAACTGAATATTTTCGAAGAGCAAGTTTCACGGAAAACGAATGCTTCAGGTAGCACCCTTGACGTTTCCTTTGTTGCAATGGTTACAGGGGCTGCAGTTCTAATCCGATTTGAAATATCGTGAAATAAGGTTTTGTTGAGATAACATTGTATCTTCAGCATCTCTGGACGTCTGTCCAAAATAGAGACGGACAGGGGACTCTCTCCTGTAGCTTCTGGATCACACATCAAGCAACAGAAACTGATACGTTAAGGATGTTCTTCTATTTTCCGACTACTCAAAGTCCGATTGACATTTGTATAGGCGAAGTGACTACTGATTATTCAGAGGACGAAATGAAAGTCTGTCGTGTGCGATGAAACAGAATGCACTTGTATTCTAGAAAATTTTACTGGAAAAAACACGAATTATTGTTTTACGAATGCAATGGGGTCCAGCTGTGGCACCCTTTCGGTGCCTAACTGCCAGGCCACCAGAAGGAAGCACGAGGGCTTGGATACTGCCAAGTTGCCCAAGCCTAGACAGGGGAAGTCAACAAGTAAAGGTCGGATCCGAACCACGGGCCTTCCGGTCACTTAATTGACGCTTTGACTACTGAGCCATCTCGCTCCAGGCGATACATTGTCCTTAGTGTCCCTGGTAGTGGTGGGAGACTGAGGAATTTCTAGGAATAATTTCGTCCTGTAATTGAGGCCAATCTGTGCTGAATATCCGGGAAGAACTTACAGCTTTTTCGTCTCTGTTTGGGAATCATCAGTGGTGTGCATCTGGCGGAACCTTAGGGAGATTTGGATGAGGGTTTGTGATTGTGCAAATGAGTATTGCAACTGTTGTCCTTTTCAAGAAGAACATGAAATTTTTTGCTCCGATTTCTAGGGGGGCGTTCAACTTTTGCCACTCTACACATGCTGTTAGCTTGGCAGACGACTTACAGACGTTTCGTCATCATTCGAGGAGACTTCATTAGCACCAGCCTACGCATGTTTTCAGTGTCGTGCCACTCAAACTTCAGTACTTATCGACAACGCGGAACTACGACAACGATTGTCTGGTCTTGAGGTGGAAACCAGAGCATGTGTAAAGGAGCGAAAGTTGAGCGCCCCCCTAGAAATCGGAGCAAACAATTTTATGTTCTTCTTGAAAAGGGCAACACTTGCAAGCGTGTTAGCGTGCTTGAGGACCACATCATACTGGATGAAAAAAGCAAGCACATTTCAAGTCGGATTGAAAAAAGACACATGCACAACTGGTCCCGATTAAAGTCCATTTCGCAGTTTCTCTTGAGTGTGTAAAAGTTGCAATGATCAATGAACTAACACTGAGTTCAGAGTCAATTTCTGAAAATTTGTTGAACAGGAGGAGAAACTGTGCTACAATTGACCAGAAACCACATTTCATAGAGACACCTAAAAACATCCAGTGTTCAATTTTTACTACCAGCTGCTGAGGGTGTAAACCGAAACGTAGAATCACGCACGCACTTCAAACTCCCAAACGGGTCAAAATGTCCCGGTCAACGGTTAAAGTCTAAGACATGATAAGTGTAGGCAAAGTGTACGTAAACAAACAGTCGAAGCAAGCGATACCGATTTCAGGTAGGCTGTGGGGTTACGGCCTCCGCAAGACGAGTATTGATCATACCCGTATCGTTCGATGTGTTTGGACACAGTCAGACATGAAGAACCAGCCAACATTGGCGCAATTATTCTCAATACGCCGTTCATTCGCATGATTGCGAAGGTGTGAGCTGGCACACAACAAATAACGCCTGTCAAGGTCAGTACTGAAATCTGAAACAGGAGATAGTAGAATGTGAGACTGTAAATGAAGGCGAGAAGGTTTACTGTGACGAAATCATCGTGAGGTTTGAAAGGGAACAGACGTGGGTGAAAAACGACAAAACCAGTACGGTAGTTAGTGAACAGAAGGATAGGATGAGGCAACAAGAGGATAGGGTCAGTAAAACGAAGTGTACTCATTTCGAATTACACTGGTAATCACGAGAGACTCAGTTACGTCCCTCTGTTGTGACAGTCTTCAACTCAAATTATTTTACAAAGGCTCAGGGGTTAGAGAGCGAATTTATTACCGCCCGGAAGGTGCGTGTTTCGAACCCGCCTCCCGCCTCTTGACATCCCCTGACTAGGCTTGGGCAACCTGGTAGTATCTCAGCAATCGTGCTTCCTTCTGGTGACATGGAATTTAGGCACCGAAAGGCCCTACAGCTGTACGATAGCTACCTTATGTTCCCTTTGCTGAGATTTTCGGGATACCGCAGTGTGTTTCCTTGACAGAACACACTGGACATAAGATTACTAATTACTCATTGACAGTCCATCACCGATCTCTCTCTTCTTGGGACTCATCAAGTGGACGCAGTCTTCAACCTTACGTTCTACTTGAACACTAAGATTTAAGAAATCGGTGAAATGCACTCATTATGATCAAAGGATTCAGTTGAATCTTCTGTTGATACCAAGTCAATTTGCCAGCACAATCAATTAGACCGTAAGACTGACGATGAGCCTCAAGAGGACAAAACTTTCAGCAACCTCCTAAGTAGTGCCATTTCAGGTAGTTTAACGCCAATTTGACAGGGGTGAAGGGTTTGTTCCATGGCTGACGACATCGGACAATAATTAACCAACAAGAGGGAAACAGCGAGCTTGAAACTTGATTGACTTGCACACTCGGTAGGCGTACATGCATGAGTTTGTATGAGTTTGACGTCATATAGTCAGCAGTTGACTGAGAACTAAAAAGTATGTAATGCAATAGAAGTGGGGAAAACACAAATGTCCTCACGCATAAATCGCCCTGAAATAACCTACGTGACTTCATGAGTGGAGCACTGTGATGAACAGAAAGTCAAACTAGATGTACTAACCACTTGTAATTAATCGCCCCATCACATTGCCTTGTTTCAATATTTGTAGTCTCCGTTCTCCGTCAACTGAATGAGTAGCGAGCATCTTTACTGCCCACGTCTATGGGTACTGGTTTCGTTCGCGCACCATGATGGTTTCCGACTGGTTACCTGGTGATCCAGCTTGTACTCCATCAGAATATCTCTGAGGTTTGCTAGAAAGCCGAAAGTATGAAGGAGCAAAGGTCAGTAGCACAACGACTAAGCTGTGGTTTGTTTGAGGCATGTCGACCAGTTGCGTCGAAGGACCGGCAAAAGTCCGTTTATTTTGACCCGGTCAGGTTTACATTCCATTTATGGTGATATAATGGAGACCACGTTCATCTCCAGCTCTCTTAGCTGTCGTTGAATACATATTGGCAATGCATACCAAAGCCCAACGGACTTATGCGTGCTAAGGAATGTAGTGGAGAAAAGATCTTATAAACGCATAAGGGAGAAGCGACTGACTAATATAGCTTGCTAACGAGGTCGAAGGAACCACAAACATAGTAATGGTAAGATTTTATGTAGCTTCAAGAACAAAAAACAAAGTTCCAAATGATCATCTCTGACAAGCACTACCGGCAATCAAGCCTTCAAGTTCGAGCCTTCCTTGGCTTGAACATCTTCCTGGCAGTTGTTAGATGTCATTTTTAACCGAGCTGTCAAATCTTCATTCTGCCTGAATAAGAACCACTATTTCACTGTAAAGTGGCCCCACGCATTTGCACGTTAGTCTGACGTCCGGGTGTTCCTTGAGTGGCTCAAAACTTCGGTGCTTTATTGTCCTGCTGACCTTGTTCGGAAGAAACAATCATGGTTTTTTTATATTGCAGGCAACTTATGTGACCAGACTTATCAGAACATTTTCAGGAGCTATGGAGTTTTGCTAGCGCTTGCATTGCGCACCGAAACCAATAGCCTTGAGGTTCGAACAGCATGTTCCTCCACCACAAGACAACAAAAAATAACACTAATTGTTATCGGCGTTTTAGGGTTTTGATTATAAAGTAGTCTCTGTTGAGTGGCAGTAAAGTCAAAATTGACGAATTTTATTGGAGGTCCGGTCTCCATCCTCTGTTGACTCAGGAATAAACTTTATGAACCGAGGCATAATGGTCTTCTTAGTAGGTGATACCCTCACTCTAAGAGGACGTGTGAAGAGGACCTGTATACTTCATGAGGAGTGAACATCCTCAGAATTCGCAGGTCAAAATCCTCTTTTTTGTTCAACATTAAAACTGCTCCAATCCATTCAACCATAATCCATTTTCTTCTGCAAAATGTAGGTGAACTCCTAGCAGAACAATCGAAGAAACATTCAAAAGTCTACCCGTAGTCAAGCTAGATGCTGGCACCTTCGGGGGCGGAGTAATGTGGAACAACCTGGCATTTGTCCTCTAAGATTCTTTTCGGGCATTTGCAATCTTCTGTTGTTGGAGAACGGGATCAGACAAACAAGTATCACGCGACACTTTCAGCCTCGGTTACTTCTTTGTTTTTTCATGGTAGACGGAAAAATCTAATCCCATTATAGTTTTGGGACAGACAATTTATGCCAGGACTCATCCTCAGTCATACATCAGGAATCAAGCACCTTGGACCTTTTCTACCCCTAGAGCGAAGAACGCAGCAATCAACATTTTAGAGAAATACCAAGTGACGAGGGCATCAGTATGGGATTCCATAGTTTATCTGAAGCATATTTACACAGCTCTTATCCGTAAGTTACAGGCCATCCTTCCGTAGAAGCGATGTCGTCGGACTAAGTCGTCATACCGGTAACTTGAGGCAGAGCTAGTCCATGCATTGAGGTGTGCACATGTGGTGCGTGAGTGCATTTGTCTTTTGACTCAGGCCCACCTGTTTTGCTCCGCGTGGCGTTACCTATGTTGCCATTGGTGACGGCCAACCAGCTGACCAATAGGAGGAACCACCAATGTGTCAGCCACGCCAGATACTTTGCAGCGCGATCGATAAAATATTCGCTTCTATTATTAATTTAAGGTATGCACCTAAACAGTACCATATGTAAAGCTTCTAACTGATGGTAGCTGACGTCTGGTAGCTGGCAGAGTCAGGTAGCTGAATGGCTTTCGTCTACCTAGCGTACTGTGTTTGGCTGCGGTCTAAATGATGCCATTTCCTCTGGAAAAATTCGTGGAACTTTGAATACTTTTACCTCCTTCATAGTGTGCAAGACAGTTACAGTTTGAGATGACAATCCTCGTCAGTCGGGTTCCACAATGCGTTGAAGCATAGTCGGTCTTGGGTCATGACTATATTCGGAAAATTTCCGCTTAACACCTCATTCAAAGGATTACTCGCGCCTTGGAAGGTGACTACAAGATTGAGAGCCGGGCGGTTTCGTTCGCTATTACTGTAATTTTGTTGGAAAACCATCGAAATGCTCCACTTTGACAATATTCTTCTTTTCCTTCCAGGTTCTTTTGAGTGAGATCTCTAGCCTGGCCACCTCTGAAGCGTGCAGGGTGCAAACCGTCTGAATTAGATTCCCTAGCGCCAAGTTTCTGTTGTAGACGGAGAGCTGTTATCGACTGGTATCGAGTTTATGATGTTCTTCCGGAGGTTGAGTTGGCGGCAACCAGCTAAACTAATCTCTAAAGTGCCCAGGACGACGTTTCTCAGAATAAATTGTGGTTTCATTCTTTTTGGGACCGTGTTGTTAACACCCGCCCACCTCAGAACAGTCGATCAGATTAGATGAGATAGGGTGACCTCGACGACCGTGAGCATAATTTTTCATTCCAAGATTTGTTGGAAAAGCAGAACGACTTAGTGTCGACGAATCAGTTGGAGCGTCATCTCTGCTGTTTGACCGTCACGGTCTTATCTTCTTTATTCTCGGCGATTGAAACCGTAGCAGCCTGAACAACCGTACGGGGTGTATAACTGATCTAATGGTCTCATACAGTGCTGTATAACCACAAACTATCTCTTTCGGTGCATGGTTATCCCCGAATTGTCTCCTGACACGCAACGAAGTAAAGTATGACAGGTAAACCATCGGTATCTTTGTAGGTGTTCAATGACCAGAATGAACTGAACTATGTACTAGATGGAGTCCTTTGACACAACGGTTGATTGCCCCAGCCAGTATATTAGTCATCTCGATTCTTTTCTGTGCTGAGCGTTGGTCATCACTAACATACTCCTGTAGGCAGACGTCCCCACTCTGGCTAACTGACAGATTGCGTTTTCCGTCAGAAGACATTTGTTGTAACGCTTCAAAGAGAGGTTACTTCCAGGACGGTTTAAAATCCGCTTATTTTGGGGAGACCACGTTCTAATTGACCCTGCGAAAAACGTTTGTTATGAACCCTCCAAAGCAGTAGTTTATCCTTTTAGGATTAAGTGCTGTACCAAGAAAACCGCATGGCGCTTTTCAACAGAGCTTACCGTACAACAGCTCCTACGAACTAACGTGTAATCGGAGTTAGATATGTGTTCCCAACTAACCAGTCCCGGCGATGTTCAATCGCGGAATGTGAACCGTGAAGAACAGCGGGACGAAAGGCATGTATTTAGCCACAATGAAAATGTCCTCAAAAAGTAACGGAAAGAATACAAATCAGCTGATAGTTCGAAAGTCACACGATTCATCTGTACAACGCTGAACGCTTGGCTTACTTACTTCCGGGTTTGTGTTTACAGCATCCGACTTCTGATTGGCGGAGAGGGAGTGATCAACACGTTTAGATGCTGAGATGAAATAGTCTGTTGGCAGATGCTATTGCTACTAGTATCCACCATATGCCATAAATTCGATGGGATTCGTTGCAGAATGGCGTGGAACAGTAACATCGTTTCAGAGTGGTTGAACTACCGTAGGTCTGAATACAAGAATCCGTTAACAGTGGCTCAAACTTTCTCAAACATAACCTCGAAACTGTCTTCAATTCATAGTATTCCTGTCCCCACCTTGGTTTCCTGAAGTCCGATCGCTGAACCTCTTCGATTTTCATACAAGCTTTACAATCCGGAATGATTTGCCATGGTCCCAATGATTGATCACAAGGCCACAAAGTCATCTGGCGTTCTCGGTCGACAATTTCACATTCGTAGCAGCTGATGTTAAGACCAAATGTGCGTTGTAAGGTGACTAATCCGAAAGTCAATGTGACAACAGAGTGCACTTGGATGTTGAAGCGCATCGTGCACTGATGGATTTGTAAATGGCGCGGCTTGATTAGGCTCATGGAAGTGGTTGTGGAAATGAACCAATCAGAAACCAGCTACACGAACACGCCCACGTGATGTTCGATTGTCCTGACAAATCGCCTTTGAGATATCTGATTTGACCTGGCAGCCTGCATTTTGCCCACTTATGAACGTGGAGCGCTATTTACCCCGCATTTTCCAGCTGAATGACTGTGTCGTACGCCAGCTCGGTTGCAACCGTTCATCATGGATCTTTGGTTCGCCTGCTTGCACGATGGCATGGAAGCGTGTACCAAGCTGTATGGCCGACGTTCCTCCTGTTTTGCTTTGCGTATGGAGGCGTCGCACTTATCTACTATTTGCTTCCAACAGATACTCCTGAGCGTCTGGAAATGAAACAACAATTTGTACAGGTCTGTGCTTATGCAGCTCGGATTTCCGATGCGATTCCTGTCTCGTTTGTGTTGGGCTTCTTTGTAAACCTTGTGGTTTCCCGATGGTGGAAACAGTTTCTCAATCTTCCCACTCCGGATTCTGCGTGCTATTTGATGGGCACATATTTACGGGGATATGAACACAAGGAAGGTTACTACGTGTCAGAACAATGCGATAGCGAAAGACCTCTATTGATCAGACGCTCCGTTGCACGCTACCTCAATTTAGCTAGCGCATTGTGCTTCCAGGAGATATCACTGAGCATGAAACGTCAAGTGGGTACGCTAGAAGATCTGGTCGATTGTGGGTTAATGACAAAACAAGAAGAAACAATATTTCTGAACCTCTCACAAGATAACGGGCACTTTTTCGTTCCAGTCGTTTGGGCTGTCACTCTGCTGAGCAGAGCACATCATGAAGGTTTCATCAAACACGAACGTCACTTGGATGCTATAGTCGCTGAAGTGGTTGCATTCTGGAGACAGCTGCACATATTATTTTTGCATGACTACGTCAATGTCCCGTTAGTCTACAATCAGGTGAGTGAAGTTTTCCATGCACGAGGAATCGATTTAGCAAGCTTGCTGTGTATCTAGCAAGTCTATTCAAAAGGTTGGTCTCGCGGATGTTTCTGACACCCAGCAGAATTGAGGACTCTAAACAGAAACTAATTAATCTATCCATTTCTACCGTCACCCCGAAATCAGTTTCTTGTGTGCAAAATTCCGATTAATGAATTCGTCGACAGCCCACTTATGACTAGCAGCCTTATGAGTAGTGCGTTACGAATGTACATGTATCGCGATATCTCGAATATCGTAGCGACTGAAAGATGAAGAATCCTGTGTGCAGCACATTCAGTGGCCTAGAAACATCACAAACGAGAGATTCAGCTGGGTTCCAGGTGAGTCTCTCACAAAAACAAATTAGTTAGCAAATGAGTTTATTTCTCTGATTAGTGACATTTTATACTAGGTCTTTGGAACAAGTAGGAATACACTCTTATTTGATGGTAGAGATTAGATATTCAGTCTGTTCAGTCTATTGTTTTTAAATTGGCCTGAAACTTTCTCATCAGCCTGTTGACTAGCACTGGGCAATTTCAGCCCTGCGTACGTTATTTTGTCAGGTAAATGCGGAACTAAGGTTAGGGAAGCATGATGAAATGGGAAAACATACGATCCCTGTCTGCTTATCTTCTGATTTATATTCTTGCTAAAACCTGGTTGCATGTGTGCATCCTATGCAACTAGCTGTACTGACTCTCAGCTACGAGTATCGAGTAGAGTGTAACAATTGTAGAAGAGATTGCAACTGCTTGCGAAGGAAGCTGCAGACGAGACATGTGTGCTCGTTAAACTGTGCATATTACTCGGATGCTGGAACGAATTATTCTTGTCGAAACTAGCAATACTTGACCTTTCATGTTATCAGATTTTTTCGAGGTGGAGAAATACACTGTCCGTTATGGTTATACATTTAACCTTCCTTCGAGGAGACCCTCATTAGGATATGTCCTCCCCGAGAAACCAGCTTTAAGTCAAGGTATTTATCCATTGAGTTCTGTCCTCTAGGAAGCCACCCTGCTTTTCGAAAACGAAGGGTAGAAACTTCCAGCTCTGCCAACTGCCGACTTACCCTGCAAAAAGAACCATCACTATGACAACATTTATTGCAGTTTCCTGAGATTTATTGAACCGCTGAAACACTCAGTAGTCTGTGTTACAAGCAAAGCTGGCAGTGTCATGCCAGGTCACTGAGCATTTCTAGCCGAGATGTTCCCCTTGGAGTCGTAAAAAGCATCTCGCAGCTGCACTACCAGATAAAGAAAACAAGACCGAAGTGCATCTTGATATAGCTGGGGAAGACTCATTGGTTAACAAGTCCTAACTAAATTAGGATTATCTTGCTGGGAGAGGTGTCCCTGGTAAATTATTCAGTGTTTCTTATCCTAGTTTAGTTCCTGCCGACCTAGGTTACAAGAGTAATGACCGGCTTCATCGTGTCCGGTTGGTGTGTGTAATCACAAGCATGCAAAAGGACTGTCGGCTTTCCAGAAAATTCTATTCAGATGGAATAGAATTTCTAATCTTATTTTCAAGAGAAAGGTTCAAAATCCCGGTAGCAAATGAAGACTAGCCACCTCAATACAGGAATTATGCTATTAAACATCGAGGAGACCTTCTGGAACCTGTAAACGGTGTCTGCTTTGAAAGTGATTTATACGTACACATCATAATGAAGCCCATGTGATGGTGGGCCAGTAAAGTATCCACATTTTCACTGCCGAATTTCACCTTCAGCGGAGTAGCCTAACCTAAACTATCAGTGCAACGGGTTCTAAGGACTGTCCGTTTGTCAGCTGTAATGTTACTTGCAAAATATTTTTCAAGCCTTGGAGGATGACAATCTGATTCTCACTTCAAAACGACACTTGGCTGGAATCCAACTGCATTCTGCTGTTTTGACATGAGAACCCTCGTGATGGCAGTTGGTTCAAAGTTGAACCAACTGATTCCGGTGGACGAAATTTTATTGGTAGTCCAGAAACGAACACGAAAATTGAGAAGAATCTCTCGGGGGATTAACATCCCAGCTCCTTGTAAGGGTTGAACCAAATCCCAAGTTTGTCAGCTGCAATTCAGCTTGAAACACGTTGCTTGGTAAATTCTTTTTGACGGCTGAGTGGACAGAGTTATTCAGTAATTGAATGATGCCAAAAATTTAATAGCGACTTGCCATATATATATATATATATAATGTAATGTGTGCATAATGTAAGAAACAGTCGAAAAGTTGTTCTGCACTTGGATGCACTTCGACATATTCTTCAGTATGTTACAGTCGTTTTTTGTCGTATGATTGCGAAAAAAGCACTCAGCTTTTTCATTTCTGTGTAGTGTTCAGACTGGCCTTAAACACAGCCACGTTACATTTGTACATAATAGGGAGACGAGATAAAGGGACCGACTAGAAGTTGATCACTACTGGGAGATTCCGAGCTGCTAACACAAACTTCGAGGATCGAATCGGAGCTCGCCATTATTGAAAGACACTTTCTGAATAGCAACTTTTCCGAGGCGAGAGAACCAAACCAGAACGATTACAATGGGGTAAAATTCTTTCTTTTTTTCGCTTGTCTGTTGCGCGAAACTGCAACTGGGTGCAGTAAGGCTCGTAACGACAACCGGCTCGAATTGGGTTACCACCTTGGAGAGCCCACCAAATTTCCACCGTTACCTATAACCTGGTGTCAGTTTCCTCACGAGGGGTTGGCTCTTAAAACGAAAACTATATTCTTTCTCTGTGGTGATTCTTACTGGTGTGGGAAAACTACCCTACCCAGCTTCACACAAAAGCTGACTAAATCCCATGAGAGGACACAGATATTTCTATATATTGTGGTCGTAGGGTATCCGAAACCTAACATAAGTTGTTACCATTCAGGTATGCCAAAGCAACTTTCCGTGGCAAGTATTTACCAGTGTTCACTTGAAGTGCGCATCTATTGAGTAAACACTCACATCCCGTTAAAACGCTCAGACAAAACGGAACATTCAGATCCCCCTATTGTTGCTTTTGTAAAATACTCGCGTATAGGTCTTCTAAGAAAATATACTGTGACATCTCGAACATCGTGCCAACTGAAACATGAGGCGGCCTGTTTGCAGCACATTCAGTTGTAGAATATCATAAAAGAGAGATTCGGTTAAGTCTCCCGTGAAAACCAAATTGCTTTGCGAATGAGTGTATTTCTCGAAAACAATTCAATTTGGGTTCAAGTAGAACATGAGGTTGACGGAAATTCGGGGACTGTGCCTACCCGATGAGCCCCAAGAAGGGCGAAACCGGTCGTGGGCTGTCGAAGAGTTTTCAGTAACCTTGTGAGTAGTTTCCTTTGTGAAAATTAAGGGAGAGTTTTTGTCGTCCAATTCGCTGACAGTCCAACCCCACGACAACGACAAACGAAACATTCATCGGTGAGTACCATCTGAGGCCATTTGACTGGGCCCAACTGACGTAACATTTATTGATTTAAATATATAGCCTCTTGGAAATATTCGCCGTTGCCGTCAGCGGCAGTAGCTTTTGAGACTATTGGCAGGCTTAACTGTGGCTGCACGCCATTCTCACTGGCCTACACGGAGGTGAAAAACAACCTGTTTAAAATAGCCAGTTCTCTTCCCAGACAACCAGTTGTTTCACACACCCACACACCCACCCACAGTATCTCACTTTAACTGATGTTTTTTATTCGCACTATCCGTTTCACGAGACGAAAGTGGCGACAGCCTGTTCGATACTGGATGAAATCGTTTCATCCAGTTTGGGCGGAATCCATGGGGGAAGGTTTTTGGTTTCGAACACCACCGATCGTTTCGCTTCATTTTAGACTCAAGTATTTTACTCTGGTTAGAACTAGCTCTAAAATTTGCCCGAAAGTGAACATCTCTACGTTCTTCTTAGGAGCTTAGCGAGTTCCGGAATCCAGCGAAGTCACAATTCTGGGATACTTTAATTCCTGATACATTTGTCTATTTGTGGAGAGGTTGTCGGAAGGGATGTTACCAGCCATATGACAAAGTCCCACAAATTACATCAGGACTGATGTCATTCAAATACCACTGACTGATCTTTCGGTCGGACACTAAACAAGGGGAAGGGAAATTTTCTACGCCCAAAACCTCGTAATCAGCACACTCCCTTCCTCGTTTAGTTTAGTTCCCGGTAGTTGATGTAGCAAACTGTCTTACATCCAATAGAGAATTTGCAAGGGTATTTTACTAAGTAAATTACCTGGAGGTCTTTCAGCCTCATTCACTCAAACTGAGTTGCCAAGTGCCGCTAAATCTGCTGTAGAGGCGGTGTTTGAATAATGCTGCGATGTTTGTTCGCAAAATTTGGACCCGTTTGCCCGTGTGTCTTCGCAGAGGGCAACACTTACATATGGGTGCGCTGTATTCGCAAATAAAATGTGTGGACAAAGTGTGAAGCCGGTTAATTGTCTTAAACGTGTCAGTCTTTGGAAGGAACAGAGCATTTTTCAGATGTGGGGGTATAAAAGCCATGAAAACAATTGGCCTATTTCACTGTGGGAATAGTTTTTGAACGGTTCCCAATCGAAACACATGCGCGCTAACTTATGTGGCTTTAGTTGCACAAAGTTAACGTAATATTATAAGGCTTCCGTTTTCTACCGTGCACAACAAATAATTTAATATGCAGTTCAGCTGGGCTTCCATCCATATGTACCTCTGGAAGTCTTTACCCTCAGGAAGATCTTCCTCGTTTGTGTCCTACGCAAAATTTTAATTACTTACCAGAAGTTTACGATAAGCAGCCGGGAGTTGTGTGAAGTCTTAGTTAAAATGTGGGATTATTGCAGTGGACTAAGGCTGGAATTTCATCCTTGACAATCTATCTAGCTGAATCATGATTGAAGAGCCGCGATCAATTTTGCTGTTTTTGGGGCTCATGAATTGGGACATTTCCGAAGCTGCTATCAATCTTACGTTTCACTTTAAAACCAAACTGTGCGCAATTGACGGACCACAGTCATTGGCAAATCAGATTCGTGTTGACGGGGGACTCATCT